TATTTTCCAAGTTAAGCCAGGTAGTCAGAAATAATAAATCAACCTAAATAATGATTTTCTAGGCCCTTTATCAGAATTTTCATTTTACCAGACCATTGTCCTGGTGCAAATTGCAATTTAGGGAAATGGAGAAATCAGGTGAATAATTTTTCTGAGACCTTTGTAATGTCTTCTGTCCCTCTCTCTAGCTCACAGGTGGCTGGTCTGGTCCGTTTCTCCTCACCATCCTCTGACCATGTCCAGCTCAGCATGAAACAGCAAGGGGCCTTTTAGGAAATACTGGTGCCCCTGTCACTGTTCTGATGTAAACAGGTGCATAGGGCTCATTTTGTTTCAGGCTCCCTGGGAGAGTCTGGGTGCAGTTAGGGCTGAGAACACTGCCAGTTAGGGCTGAGAACACTGCCGATGCCCGGTCTGTCCTTGGTTCACATGTCGGAAATCCCCTCTTCCAGGCCCTTCTCTTCCCATCTAGCTCTTTACCCCATTATTCTGCCATCTTCCAACCCACCCTCTAACCTGTAATCAGAGTTACGCTTTAAAAATACAAAGGCTTTCATTCTCCTACTTACAAGCCACCCATGGACTGCTCCATTTCCAACACCACCTTTTGTCATTACACTCCCCCCATGAACCATCATTCCCAAAGGCGACAAGGCTCTCACGCGGCCACTCCTGAGGGGGAACAGCCTCTCACATGGCCAGGCCTGAGGGGCACCAGGCTCTCACGCGGCCACTCCCGAGGGGGACCAGGCTCTCACACGGCCACTCCCGAGGGGGACCAGGCTCTCACGCGGCCACTCCCGAGGGGCACCAGGCTCTCAGCGGCCACTCCCGAGGGGAACCAGGCTCTCACGCGGCCACTCCCGAGGGGGACCAGGCTCTCACGCGGCCACTCCTGAGGGGGACCAGGCTCTCACGCGGCCACTCCCGAGGGGGACCAGGTTCTCACGCGGCCAGGCCTGAGGGGGACCAGGCTCTCACATGGCCAGGCCTGAGGGGCACCAGGCTCTCACATGGCCACTCCTGAGGGGGACCAGCCTCTAATGCGGCCACTCCTGAGGGGGACCAACCTCTCATGCGGCCACTCCTGAGGGGGACCAGGCTGTCACATGGCCACTCCTGAGGGGCACCAGGCTCTCACATGGCCAGGCCTGAGGGGGACCAGGCTCTCACATGGCCACTCCTGAGGGGCACCAGGCTCTCACATGGCCACTCCTGAGGGCGACCAGGCTCTCACGTGCCCGCAGTGCCCCTATTGAGTGTGCCACCCAGCCTACAGCTCCCTACCTTCACTGCCAGCCATTTGTTTTCAAGAAATATTTATGGGCAGCGCCTGCAGCTCAGTGAGTAGGGTGCCGGCCCCATATACCAAGGATGGTGGGTTCCAACCCAGCCCCAGCCAAACTGCAACAAAAAAATAGCCAGGTGTTGTGGCGGGGGCCTGTAGTCCCAGCTACTTGGGAGGCTGAGGCAGGACAATCACCTAAGCCCAAGAGGTGGAGGTTGCTGTGCGCTGTGACGCCATGGCACTCTACTGAGGGTGACAAAGTGAGACTCTGTCTCTAAAAAATAAAAAGAAATGTTTATGGCATGGTAACTCTGTGCCACCACACCCCTGGTGGGGAGAACTGCTATCTTTACAGGCTCCTGTGACCTTTTGTACAAATATCTGCCAAAGTGTTCTCGATAGCCCCCACCCTTTTGTTCACCCCCAGGGTTCCCACAAGACTGTGAGCTCCTCAAGGACCGAACCTGGCCACCCTCATCTTACGTGCTTGGCACCTGGCCGTTTGGGATATGAATGAAGGTGATGACTGCCCAGAGCACTTTCTCACACACCTGTTCCTGCCCACCTCCCACGACTCCTGAGTCTGACCAACCCCCCTCCACCTCAGTGGCTACAGCCACTCAACTGTCTTCTGTCCTTCAACCCTGATCATCGTCCTGTTCCTGCTGGAAGCCTCCTCTCTGCCCTCCTGAACTGACAGAAGAGTCCCCACAGCAGCACTGAGGGCTACCTGCAGCTCAGCCCAACATGCGGCCTACAGGGACACTCTCGGTCTGAAAGCCAGAAAGCTGGCCCATCCTGGCCCTCCTACACAAATCCACACCCCTGGTGGGATGTCAAGTCCAGGTCCCTCCTGGCTTCTCACAAAGTCTTTCTCATGCAGTAAACCACAGAATGGGAAGGACTCAACCTCTATACCCCTGCAAGACAGACATTTGCTTCCAGTCTTCAGAGTCATATATTCTGTTTCAACCAATTATTGTTATCATTCATTTTTTTTAGAGACAGGGTCTCACTCTGTCCCTTAGGTGGTAGTACAGTGGTGTGATCATAGCTCACTGCAACATCGAACTCCTAAGCTCTAGTGATCCTCCTGCCTCAGCCTCCCAAGTGGGACTATAGGCGCCCGCCATAATGTCTAGCTGCTGTTTTTGTTTGTTTGTTTGTTTTTTAGAGACAGGGTCTTGTTCTGACTCAGGCTGGTCTCGAACTGCTCAGCTTAAGCAATACACCAGCCTCAGCCTCCCAGAGTATTAGGATTATAGGTGTGAGCCAGCACGCCTGGCCCTCATTTATGAAATTTTTATTTTCAACTACATTCTTCACCTTAAATGTTGATAAAAATGACACATGTGAACATGAAGCATGACAAACAGACAGAACTGACGTCCGGACACACGTGAGCACGAAGCACGATGCACAGGTGGAATTGACGGCCCGACGCACGGGTGGAACTGATGTCCCGACGCACATGAATGAAGTATGACAAATAAATGGAATTGACGTCCTGTGACAGCAATTCTTTCCATACCTGTTTAAGTAATTTAATGGCATATGTTCTGTTTTGAATCTCCACTTTGTATACATCAAAAATCTCCCCTTCTCCAATTAGAAAGTCTCCATGGAAATTTCTGGTTCCTTCTATGATGTTTTGAAAGCTGATGGAAGATTTCGGCAATATTCCTTAGGAAGGGAAGCATAGATAAGCAGAAGATAAGTCAGCTTTTCTCTTTCTGAGAATCAGTGTCACCATTATAACCAAAATTCTCCTCTCAGAAATGAGTCAGAGCCCAGGAGGTCAGGAGAGGAGGACCCAGGAACCCACGCAGAAGCCACGGACTGCCGTCTACCTGCTACTTGGGTGTGATCCCACCATTCTACAGAGCAGGTGGCTTGAGAGCAGCATTGCTGTGATTTCATCACCTCTCCAAAGAGATCAGCCAAGAAGCTCAGCAGGGAAAACACTGCCAAGACTTAGTTTTCTTGTCACTAGGTCAAGTGTTGCCATTGGCCCTTTATGAACATAAAACCACTTGAAAACTATGAGACTGGAAGTCTCAATAGTCCCCAAACGTGACTGATAGAAATGTGCCGAAAGAAGGTGTAGCTTTTTGAAAAATCATCCAAAGCAGAGATTGGGAAAAAACACATAAAAGGTAATCAAACATAAATGCAGAGCCCAGTTTCGTGTGTATCTCCATAGCTAATACAAAGTCCTCTCTACAGACATTTAATGATTCATTTAGACCTTATTGCTGAAGAACCAAAACCTTGTCTAACTTTTAAAATTCTCTCTTCAACCAAAGAAGCTTAGGATCTGGTGGCAAAGATAATGCAAATCAACCTTAAATGGTCTTTAAAACTTATCAGAATGGTTCCCAGATGGGGCTGAATTATTCTCCCTACTGATCAAGTGGGAAAGCTGATGTACAAACTAACTGGATCTCCATACTAACCTTCAGCATTCTCTACAGTATCTTGAAAGAGTTCTGCAATTACTATGGAAAATTTTAAAACGGTATGAAACCGAACATCATATAAAAATGTTTTCCTATGACACTATTTGCTATAAAAATAGCAAATTTTGCTGAAGAACCTGAAATAGCCCCTTAGGAGACCACAATTATGTTCTTCCTTAGCCAGTGGGTTTTGTTTTTTGTTTTTCTCGGGTTTTTTTTTTTGTTTTTTGAGACAGAGTCTCAAGCTGCCACCCTGGATGGAGTGCTGTGGCATTATAGTTCATAGCAACTTCCAACTTGGGCTCAAGTGATCCTCTTGCCTCAGTTTTTCTATTTTTAGTAGAGATGGGGTTTTTTGTTTTTTGTTTTTTTTTTT